CCGCAAATTACAGTTCGAGCTAAAGTCAGAGTATGAAGTGATAATTCGATGCAACGTTCAGTGGTGGACAACCATTATTCTCTGGGCTATTCAGACTTTTCTGCCCATTCACTCAGACTTTTTCTGTCCATAAGCAGACGTACACTCAACAGTCAAAACTGTTCTTTTGACGCTCGATGTCCAGAAGTGCATTGAAGGTCCATTCGAATTTTTTGGATTCCTTTGGTTGGATCCACTTGAGCGCTCCCAAAAACTGTGACAACATTTCAAAGATTGGCCTATTTACTCGATAAGTGCTGTCCAGACATGCTATTACTTCAAGATTTGGGCAAACTAAGCTCAAAATCCAGTGGTTTCCTTCAACGTTCACATGACATATTATCACGTCTTTTTCTAAAAGTTTTTCTCTGAGTCCGTAAGTTAAGATTCGGTCAGTGATGCCATGTTTCCTCAGGCTTTCTACAATTTTAGTGTCCATATGGAACATGCTTGCTTGTTCTGAAGACGCAATTTCTTGATAGAGCGACACTCGTGAGTAAATGAACGCATCAACGATGTTATCGTTGATCCACGACCTGGGTACCAGACTCTTGAAATCGTGATCGTCAAGAACGTATGGGCCAATGTGATGAGATACATTTTATTTTTCTGTGGACTGCTTCTCTTCTTCAACTCAATGCTGGACAGTGCCCGTCATCGTTTTTTGTCGCGCTGCAGTGATAAAAGTTTGTCGCGCTGCAGTGAAAAACTTCGAAAAAAAATATTGCTAAAAATGCAAAAAAGAATCTGAAAGCCTTCTTTTTGTACGCTAGTTCGAAATGTAAGTCAAAGGACGGTATTTCTGATTTGAAAATAGACCAACGAAAGATTTCCTCCTGTCTCTTATACACATCTAATCATCTACCACCTGAATAATGATAAAATACAAAAAGGAAACGTAGATTTAAGAAATGAGATATAACGACCAATAACTAATCCTTGATTGGAAATGGATAATGAAGGGATTTTCTTGTAGCCCAGACAACACACATTTCTTCCAACTGAACTTTTACAATGTAACCTTTAAAATTTCAGTGTCTTGTCNACTTCAAACTATCGCCAGTCATGAAAAGATCCGGTCAAATGACACGAGTTTAGATCTATGAACAAGGCACGAAAAGGAAAAGAATCGGCGACAGGCCACATCAGGCCTACACTTCAGCGCCGACATCACTATGTTATGTTATAACACTGCTGCACATGACGCACCAATTTAGCACAAATTCACTCAGTTTAAATAAGTCTTGAAATGTCACATTTGATTACTAGATATGCATTTAAGAAGAATAACTCCGTGACCATGCTTACCGTTAAGAAATTCAACATTAAAGTAAAAATAAGCTCAAATTACATACGTTAGAATTTCTAACGTGTTTATTGTAAAGGAATAGATATTGAATTGTGGGCAAGGGCTATGCAGGGGTCTATACTGCGTCCCAACCGTAAGAGGTCGTTTTGCTTTAAGCACTATTGGCGAGTGCTAAATATTGTGGTCGAGTGCGGAGTGATGATTTACATTGAATAAGTGATTGATTCACCTTATTTCATCACTCCGAACACTTTAGGTTGAAAAATCTCTGAGATATCAGCGTTGAACCTGTTGAAGTGATCGTCAGGTTTCACTATAAATGAAAGGAGATTAATCGTTCAACATGTTTGAGCAGAGAACGGATATATCTGCCTCAAACATTATGGTTCAAGATTTTCGGTTCTTTTGACATCAGTGTTTTATATATATGGTGATTACTATTGCAGTGTTTTGCTTCTAAAATCACGGAATTGCCAGATTCTCCGCCGCATTCGATCGATCCATTGTTCGCCACATGTTCCGCACTTCAGCGCCTTCAGCTTTTAAGTGTGACCCGCTAGGGGTTCCTTTCAAAGCTGATAACTGATTGGTGCACAAATTTGGTGGTGCACGGCTGCGTACCCTTCTGAGCAACAACATGGAATAACCCAGCCCCCAGGCTGCGAGTCTGCGACCCTGGCTCTGCCTGAAGTTACGCAAAGTAAAGTAGAGTGTGCTGCGCTGCCCAACTCAGAATTGGACATGCCGGCTTCTGAATCTGAAGTCACTTGCACAGATTCAACATGCGCGATTCCGACCAATTTACTACGACCGGGACAAGAACTGGAAACTAATTTAAGATGTATAAATGTGCAATTTTCCCTGTGTGAACTTTTGAGGGGTGGGAACTTTAATAATGATGCAACAGTGAAAAGGAAAATCTTTCAATTTTTTACTGTTTACATTTTTAAATCCGGCAGGCTTGGGCCTTGGCTAACTTTAGATAGGTAGGTGCCAAAGACAATAAAAATTCAGCTTATATATATATATATATATGTATGTCGTATGAGTGTATTCATGTAGGTACCATAAAATGGGGTAGGCTAACTTAGACTCCCGGGCCCGGGGTAACTTAGACAGTTCAGGTCGGGAAAAGTCCTACTTTTTTCTGAAATATTGTGGCTCTAACTGAGTCTAACATCATATATTATTAGTAGGTAAGAAATCTTGTGGCTAACTGTAATGTGATGTATTTTTGTTTGATTGAAAAAATCACAGTTTGCACTTCGCAAACATGTCATTTCATAAAATTTCCAACTTCCGCATTACTTTACCGTTCATGCCAATTGCATCCCTGCTGTACTTGATGGCATTGGCATGATGCACAAAATTAGCAATCAATAATTCAAAGTACTTTTGTATGCAATAAACCATACATTAAAATGGATTGCCTTGGTCAAAAATGGGGTAGGAAGCAGCTGTGGCAGCTTGGTTGAGAATTTTGAAAATAAATGACCAGAACAAAGAGCAGTTTCAAGTCCTTAGGTTACCTAATCTAATGCAGCCTAAAAAAGATTGAAAAATTTTGCTTCTTCACGAATTTCAATGCTGTTAACATTGAGAAACTTCAAAGTATCTCTCATGCAAGTAAGTAATACTTGCTAAATAAATTATAATTTGGATATAAATTTCATATGAAGACTAATTACTCCAAGCCATGCAGCATTCAGTTTTGGAGTGACCTTTACAGCCAAATTGAAATTTATTTAGTGAGCATTTATAGCAAGAGAGATACTTAGAAGTTTCTCAATGTTGAAGGCATTAAAATCCATACAGAAGTATAAATTTTCAATATTTTTTTAGCTGAATTAGGCTTAGGCTCCTAAAGACTTGGAACTGCACTTTGTTGAGGCCTTTTACTTCAAAATTTTTTGACAAAACTGCTGCAGCTTGCTGCAGACACAATGCTGGCCCGCCCCTTTTGTTCATTTAGTATGCAGTTATCTTTTGTTTGGGAAGGTGCTAATGTGTTGTGCGGCGGTTTGCAAAGAAGCATTGATCAGTTCGAAATGTCATAAGACCATGTTCTTTTATATTACCTATAGAATTGCAATATGGAGCCTTTGTTGGCTCATATGCTATAATCTTCTTACCCTGGAAGTGTTCACATTTACTTGGATGGGTCAAGATTGTCTGAAAACTCAGTTTCAGCTGGAGTCTATATTCCTTCCTTGTCTCTGGCAACTGGGTGGCTGTTCTCCCTGACCCACACAGTAATGGGTGCAGAGCTGTTTACAATCTCCAAGGCCCTGGAAATTTCTCGTCAGGTAGAGTTTTGAAGCATACCAGTGGTTATGATAAGGGACTCAAGATCATCCTTGGACCTTATCAGAAACACATATCGTCCAGCATGGTATTAAAGATTTTTTAATAAAACCCAGATTGGTTGGGCTATTTAAAAACCCTAGGTTTTCTGCAGCCCTGTTCTGAAGGGGATTTATTTTGCAGGTGTCAAGGTAAAAAATAATTGAATAGCAAATTTCCGCGAGAGTTAGTTGTTTTTAAATGAACCCTAATGCACATACGCATATTAGTGACAATTGCTGCTTCCAATGCCAGTTGCCACTCGCTCCAAGTGGCCAGCTGAACAAATTGATCGGATTGAGATAGGCCTGCACTGACCAGTGTTTCCATGAATCCCATATTACATGAAAGAATTTCCTAAACATGTACATATTCCTGAGTGTGGCCTGCAGGCAAGAGACTGAAAAGCAAAAAGCAAGGTATTCTGCCTGTAGGCCACAAGACAAATTAACCCAGGCACCCAGGAATGATGTGCTAGGGAATGAAAAATCCCATAGGACTTATGACAAGCTCAGACCCATCAGCCTGCAGGCATAAATTTTGCAGTAAGCTGTATCTCTTGTTTTATTTATTCCAATCACTAAGACTCAATTAACACTTTCATTGACTCATAAAATACTTTATTAGAGAATGATGCAGTCATTGAATGATGAAATGCAACTGCTTGGGTGTCTAAAGTGACAATTTTATTTCCCAACCATATTTCAAACTGTAAAGTTATTCATCGGATGATGATGTTCATATTAATGTTTGACAAGAAATAAACTCCACCTTTCTTATTTATCCCCTTCACATACAGCTACTGTGAGCCACTATTCCTTGTATAATGATATTAGCAAGCACCATTCAACATTCTAAGTCATAGTCTAGCAATTATTGAATGCATTTCTCATGGTGCTTGGTAGTTAGAACTGATTATCTCTAACAGCTCACTACAGCTGATGCCATGCCATCACAAATTAAGGACCCTTACAGTTATAGAGCTATAGAGACACTTTTACCCTTGTACTGCAATATTGTCCAAATATTTTGGAAATTGTGGGTAGAAGAGGTTGTTTTATGGGAGACAGTTTATACTGTGGGCTAAAATTTGCTGTTTATACTTTCCTCAAGAGGGATTAGGCAATGGCCATATAAATTATTATGGTAGTGTTTAATGATGTTATGTTATTGTAGGTACTCATGTTATTATACCAAAATGTTATTGTAGGTATTCATGTAATTATTCATGAGTACAGAGTACAAGCATTTCTGTCTCATTTACAGGTGGCTTCTGCCTGATCTTCCAGTTTGTTACTGTTTTTTTTTTTTTCTGAAACTATAATAATTACCAAACCAGAAGAAGAAAACATGTAACCTTGCATTTAGTTTGAAGTACGGTAATAATTGAATTTTTTGTAAAGCCTGATGGTTTGGTTTTCTGTGTGTTATCATTAGTCTGCTTGATTGTTGCATTGTAACCAGGCCTCTGAAATTTTAAAGCAGCATTTATATACAATGAAGGATCTTGTTGATTTTTTTAAATCTTCTAATTATGACTCGGGAACAGCTACTCAGATGATTCAGTGTAAGTATTTAATTTTTGATATTCTGCATGATTTTCCTTCCTAGAATGTTATGTATATTTTTATAAAATTTTTCTAAAACTTTTGACTTTCTAAAACTTTTGAATACTGAATACTTGAAATGTCATACAATGATAATAAAATGTGTTTTGGAAACCTCATTTTTAATTTTTGAATCCAATCAAAAGTGTACCTACTTTGTCAAATCAAGAAAAATGATGAAAAAATTGTTAGTATGAACTAAGAAATACTCTCCAAGTTTTCAACAAAATGTGCATTAATCTTAAAAATATTTATAATTAATTGTGAAACTTCTAAGCTTGGGAATATTGCCATTGCATGCTTGTCTTTAGGGCTTAGTGTGAATTATTGTCATCAGTGAAAACTTTATAAGAATGATGAAAGCACATTAAATTCTTGCATTACACTTAAATTCCAATAATGCATTGAATTTGAATTGGCAGTCAACATTTTACATTTTGTGAATTGCAGGCATCTGTGATGGAAGAAGTTCCATATTGGATGCAGTGGAATGCCTTGGAGAACTTCTCACCTCAGAAAATTCAGGAGAGCGAGCAGCTGGCACTCGCCTCCTTGCAGAAGTGTTGCATGGTCTACCAAAGAATTGTCTCAACGAAGCACAAATAAAATTTATAAGTGCCTTCTTCCTTGAGAGAATGAAGGACCATCATACTGTCATTCCTGCTGTGCTTCATGCTCTTCCATGTCTGGTAATTTTATAGAAATTATTGCCTTGCTTATCAAAAATGTGATTGTTCCCTTGACATGGGGGTACTTCATCAATGAATTTTTGAAATTTATAATTTTTATCTGAACATTGATATATGTTTATATTTATAAATTGTTCCGTGATATATTATAATAACCTAATTAAATTCTAATTCAGAAGTTGATCTATTTTCAAATTTGGAGATATAGTTTATATTTCTTTCCAGTCATTACCTACTGGTTAACTTTTTGACTTTTTTTACATTTACTGTATTATCTGTTCCAACAGCAAAACAAATCTTGAAACTTTAGCACAACTGCTATTGAAAGATTGAAGATGTGTTTGTTGGGAAGATATTTTTTATGTTACCTGCTTAACCAGGATTCCTTACTTCTGCTAATCTAATTTATATTAGCTCTCCATAAATTTATTTATCTTAAGTTTTAGTCAGCATTCATCTTCGTGCATAACTGTAAATTAGATGGCTCTTCTTTCATTAAAAACAAAGAAAGAAATTATATTTTTGCTAATTTCATATTATAAATAATTGATTTGGAATCAGCTAGAACTGGAGCAAATCAGCAACAGTGATGTGGAGAAGCTTGTGCGTGGACTTCTTCTAGAGGTTCACTGCCAAAGTCAACTGATGCTTGATCGGCGCAATTATTACTCAGTTATTAGAATTGCCATCACTAAACATAAAGCTGGTAAGTTGTATTACGTACGTATTTACAGAATTTTATCCATAAGGCCTCAAAAAAAAAACACAATTACCATATATCTGTTTGCTGAGGTGTTTGTAAGAAACGAGTGGTTTTCAGGTGACATATAAATGGCCAGTGACCAGATAAAGCTTATGTATTGGTTCTGGCTGACCACTTAACATCTCTTCCCACTTGCTATTTCGTGAGCTTTTGCCCACCCCATAAATCAGTTCTTGGCCCCCAGCTGAGGGTTATAGGCAGGTTGTCTACACATTCCTTGATGGCTAGCCCTTTGTAGTATAACAGATTAGTTAAAACTCTTGCATGGTAGTTTCACTACCTGATAGGTTTGTGTTCATTTATCTACCACTAGGAGTCTGATTCAGAAATGTTAAGAAATAGAAAATAGATGGTAAAACCCCCTGACATTGCAAAAATACAATAAAAGTTACACATTTTATGAGCATCAGGGTACAATATTTTTCCTCATGATTATATTTCTAATAGAAAGTTTATTTAAGTTATCTTAAGGTCCATAGTTTGAAAATAAATAGCTGAAATAGCATTCAAAATGTCAGACAGCTATCTTATTTACAAGTAGAGCTATAGCTAATAGATTTATTGTTTGAATTCCATTTGAGACAACTAGACCAATGAGGAGACAACTAGACCAGTCCATTGGAGAAAACTAGACCAGTGTGCCAGCTGAATGATTTTTGCTCTTAACAAGGGCAGGTCAACTTTGTGATGTCTATTTTTGCTATAAATTTATCTTTTTTTCCATTGTGGAACCTCATAAAAAACTCAGCCAAGGCATGGCTAAGCCTTCATTGTTTATGAAATATTTTTCTGCTGCATTTTCATTTGGAATAAGCTCTCTTTTCATTATATATATATTTTTTTTTTATCATAGACAATCATGTTATGAAACTTTAAACAGTTACGTATGCATACCGTACACAGTATTATTAATGCTTAAGTTGTTGCATTCTTGCTTTAATTAAATGCTACAGTACTTCTCAAAAACATCACTCGTATCCGTGCAAATGAATTTGCAGCTCTTTATTCATTCAATTAATATTCTTCCTGTAGTTATTGATGAGATGTTCAACGAGTTTGTTTTGGGCTTCATCTCTGCGGCTGATGGAGAAAAAGATCCTCGCAATTTACTGCTTCTCTTCTCACTTGTTCCGGTGATTGCAAATGCCGGTACCCTTGGCAAAATGTCTGAGGATCTTTTTGAAGTTGTGGCTGCTTATTTCCCAATTGACTTTGTTCCTGTGAGTATATGTATGTTGTGATATCTCTAGTATTTTTAATTATTGATTATTATTTATTAATTATTAAAATGAATTATTTTAGATTTATTTCAGTAAATAAATCTCTAGTAGACTGTTTCGTTTGATATTTTCTTCTAAGTAAAATGAATTATTTTAGATAAGTTTCAATTCAAATAAAATTTGAGTCATGCTTAAAATAGTTCTGAAAAATATGGTTTTTATCTGTTGAAATCATTATGATTTTTTGGGATCATCTTGAGATGTTTGCCAAGGAATAATAAATTTTAATGATTTCTGATGTTACAATATTTACACTAACTAATGTAGATTCAAATCATGAGAAGCAGAAAATGTGGTTAGATCATTGTATTCTTTTTTTCATTGATAATTTCATGTACTTGTTTGACATTGCTAAGAATTTTGAATAATATGAGTAGATCAGTTAAACTTTTCATTTTCAATGCCATGTTGTTCTCCCACTAGCCTGTTGATAATTTCATGAACTTATTTGACTTAAGAATTTTTAATAATAAATCAGTTTTACTTTTCATTACCATGTTGATTTCTCACTAGCCTGTTGATAATTTCATGAACTTATTTGACTAAGAATTTTGAATTATAGATCAGTTATACTTTTCATTACCTTGTTGTTCTCCCACTAGCCTGTTGATAATTTCATGAACTTATTTGACTAAGAATTTTGAATAATAAATCAGTTATACTTTTCATTACCTTGTTGTTCTCCCACTAGCCTGTTGATAATTTCATGAATTTATTTGACTAAGAATTTTGAATAATAAATCAGTTATACATTTCATTACCATGTTGTTTTTCCACCAGCCTGTTTATGACCCACTCGGAGTTACAGAAGAAGATTTGAGTGACGGGTTACGCCAGTGCCTCTCCTGCCACGTTGGCTGGGCGGAGTATTTCTTGCCTCTACTTTGTGAAAAAATGGAGTCTGATTTGCCACAGGCAAAGAAAGAGGCTTACAGAACTCTTGTGAGTCTCAGCTCTGCATCACTTGATTGATAGTACATTTCTATGCATCTCATGAGCATTCTGTGTCAGGGAATTGCATCTTTTGTTGTACAAATTTGGCGCTGAACTTTTCGTGCTGAACATAGTCAACTGTTCACACATTCATGCATAATTGCAGATGCCTGGTCATATATGACTGGAATGCCTTTGAGCCTCTCCCAACAAACTTGCTGGTGTTCATATTTTGAAATTAACACATTGTGTTTCTGCACATGTGATATGATTTTCACTGAAATAATGTAATTGACGCCACTGGTAGAAGCATATTTCATATTTGGTTCTTTGCAATTTCTTCTATTGTTAACAGTGAACTGGCATGATTTTCTTTGAACTTATCTGTCATTTCAATAATTGTTGTTAAATTTATTCATTGTTAGTAAACTTACAATCAATATCTTCAAGCAAAACTGCTCCTTATTAACCTCTATAAACAAACATGAACAATTTGTTGTACTCATGAACTGACATGATTTTATTTGAAGCTGTACCGTATATCATCTCAATATTATTATTCAATTAATTCACTGTTAATAAGCTCACAATCACAATCTTCAAAGAAAACTGCTCCTTATTAATCTCCATAAACAACCATGAACAATTTGTTGTACTCAGATCTTGTGCTGCGCGCGGGGCTACACGAGTGAAGCGCTGAGCCCTCACCTGACGGTGCTGTGGCACTGCATCAGGCGGGACGTCGTGGACGGCAGCGATGCTCAGGTCTCTCTTACCCCTGAACTCCATTTACGTCCACTCTTTACCCCTAACTCCATTTACCACCACACTTTACCCCTAACTCCATTTACTCCAACACTTTACCCCTAACTCCATTTACTGCCATACTTTACCCCTAACTCCATTTACCGCCATACTTTACCCCTAACTCCATTTCCGCTGCCCTTTACCCTAAACTTCATTTACTGCTACACTTTACCCCTAACTCCATTTACCACCATACTTTACCCCTAACTCCATTTACTGCCACACTTTTCCCCTGACTGCATCTACCACCACACTTTACCCAAAACTCCATTTACCGCCATACTTTACCCCAAACTCCATTTACCACCACACTTTACCCCTAACTCAATTTACCGCCACACTTTACCTCTAACTCCACTTACTGTCACACTTTACCTCTAACTCCATTTACCGCCACACTTTACTCCAAACTCCATTTACCGCCAAATTACCGCTATACTTTACCCCAAACTCCATTTACCGCCACACTTTACCCCTAACTCCATTTACTGTCACACTTTACCCCTAACTCCATTTACCACCACACTTTACCTCTGACTCCATTTACCACCACACTTTACCACTAACTCCATTTACCACCACACTTTACCCCAAACTCCATTTACCACCACACTTTACCCCCAACTCCATTTACCGCCACTCTTTACCCCTGACTCCATTTACCACCACACTTTACCCCCTAACTCCATTTACCACCACACTTTACCCCCAACTCCATTTACCGCCACTCTTTACCCCTGACTCCATTTACCGCCACTCTTTACCCCTAACCTCGTTGCTGCTGTTAATATTCTAGCCCACGTTTGTAGTCTTCAGTTATTAATTTTATTCAATCTGTTGTCATTCTGAGCATCTTGCTATTTTTGGTTTTATCAATTTTTTATTCGTATATTTTCAGTTTCATTTTTATTTTCTGAATATATTCATATTTTTTGGGTCTTTTTAACCTAAATTTCTGTTTACACAATGCCCTCTATGGTTGACTGCAGCCAGTGTTTCAGAGTCACTGAGATCAATGATGAATATATCCCGTGATTTAGAATGTTGTGATGACATAAAATGTATTGATGACATAAATCGTAGTGATGACATAAAATGTAGTGATGATATAAAATGGAGTGTTATAAATCGTAGTGATGACATTAAGTGTATTGCAGGTGTCTGCTGTAGCCATAGAGGCCCTCAGCGCTGTCCTCGCTGCCGCTCACATCAAAGTGGTAGACGTGAACACTGTCACCACCATCGTTGACGCCATCATTGATGGTGAGCTCTTTATTTATTATGGATATCCAACGAATGATTAGATTTTCTATTTCTTCTTAATAATTTCTCAGAAAACTAATTTAATTTGTCCCAGAAATTAAGTTGACTTTTTGTTGTCGTATTAAGATCACTACAGTGGGCTAAGCTAGCAGATTTTAATTATCAATTCATGTATGATAGTTTTCTTGAGCATTATCCTTGACCGTTACATAAATCTCTCATATTTTCATATCATTAGTTTACATTAATCACATCCTAACATTTTAAAGGTAAAGAAAATGCCAAATATGGTGAATTTACTCTGTGTTTTGTTGGCTACAGTAATAACATCCTGACATTTTAAAGGTAAAGAAAATGCTAAATATGGTGAATTTACTCTGTGTTTTTTTTTTTTGGCTACAGTAATAACATTTTAACATTTTAAAGGTAAAGAAAATGCTAATGTGATGAATTTACTGGGTGTTTCTTGGCTTGTAACCTCTTGTATTGCACCTCAGAATGTGTAGTCCATCTTCCAGCCCCCGAGAGCAGACTGTTCCTCCCTGCCAGCGACCTCCTGACTGCTGTGATTGCTGCACAGGAGTGCGCTGCCCTGCGAGTTTATCCTAAGGTTAGGACAATCTTTGCCCGCATTAAGGGGAGCATGCCTGTCGAAACGAAACTTTTTTGTTTACTGACGGATCGTTATGAAACTTGGTGCACATATGTAAAACAGAGTTCTAAGACTTTTTTGTTCATGTGAATTTTCCGAAAAAAATGAAAGAAAACGTGAATTAACAGAAAACTGACTAAAAAGCGGGTACTGTATAAATCCTACTCCTCGTGCAGTATACATGCTACGACATCGAGACACATATCATTCGATTCGCAAAGACCATATCTAAAATTCGCCCGATCATGTTTTCCAATTTCGAATATGTTCGGGAAGGAGGGGGGATTTTCCAAAAATTTCTCAAATTCCCCCCCCCCCTTTTTCCAATATATAATTCAAACTATAACGAAATCGCAAAAAATGATCGGGGGATTATTAGATAATTTAGTTACGAATCGAATGGTGTATCTCTCATTGCTGTAGCTTCAAAACTGTAGGAGGAGATAGGTTTGCTGTGACAATAAGTTAACTTTTCAATAGGGCCCAACAAAGTCGCGTGCGCCTCGAAAAATACATTCAAGGGTGCAAGGTTGCAAGACTACACGATATTGGAGCTCAATTTCTGTCAAAGATGGTGCGAACGACGGCACGAGAACTATCCCGTACGACTGCAGGCGGATAACTGAAGCAGCGTGTTCAGACTAGCTATTTAAGTATACTGACAGTAATTTCGGCCTATTTTAAACGTGAAAGAACTCCACCACCCCTAACCCCGTTTGCGATCTGTTGTGAACGCATAAATCAACGTACAGAGATGGTTGTGGTACCGTTGCATAGGTCAGAATGTTAGCTTTAAGACGAGTATAAAAACCTAAAAAGTCGAAATTCTTGATTTTGACCGATATGCTCCCCTTAATATACGGTACAATGCCCTCATTACTATACGGTACAAATTGCTGCTCTGCGAGTTTATCCTAAGGTTAGGACGACAATCTATGCCTGCATTAATATACGCTACAAATTGCTGCACTGCGGGTTTACCCTAAAGTTAGGACAATCCTTGTCCTCATTAATATATGGTAGAAATTCAACTCTGGGAAATAAAATTTATCGTCCTATCGCGCCAGGCGTTTAGTGCCCAATACTTGATAGCTTAGTCTACGAGAATTCTATCTATAATTTATTTATTAATGTTTTATTTTTAATTTATATTAATATTTTTGAATGTTTTCATATGATCAGTCGAATTTTCCTTGGTACTGTTGTAATTATAGATTCAGGTTTTTGTCTGTGAATTAATGCATATAAAATGTTATGATGACGTGTAAGCAAATGTGTAACTCTGCTGCTTTACAAAAATATGGAAATTAAATTTAATTCTAGAGTACTAACAATGTTGAGAAATTGTAGTCATTGAACAAACTGCTCCCATTGGAGCCCTGAATTATTTTTATAATATATCATGATATTAAAAAGTGCACAAAATAATGCTACAGGACGCTAATCATTGTGATGATATAATAACATGATCATTTACAACGTCTCAAAACAGGAATTCAGAAGAATAAATGATGCCATAAGAAAGCATTGATCTTTGCAAGATGCTATAAGAAAGATGATTTATATATGATGCTATATTTTGAAAGATCTTTATTTGATGCTATAAGAAATCGTTGATCTTTATAGGATGTTATAAGAAAGATGATCTTTATTTTGAGGCTATATTAATGCTATTTTGAAAGACCTTTATTTTGATGCCATAAGAAATCATTGATCTTTATAGGATGCTATAAGAAAGATGATCTTTATTTTGATGCTATATTAATGCTATATTTTGAAATATCTTTATTTTGATGCCATAAGAAATCATTGATCTTTATAAGATGCTATAAGAAAGCATTGATCTTTATTTTGATGCTATATTGATGCTATATTTTGAAATATATTTATTTCGATGCTATAAGAATACATTGATCTTTATAAGATGCTATAAGGAAGCATTAATCTTTATTTTGATGCTATATTGATGTTATATTTTGAAAGATTTTTATTTTGATGCTATAAGAAAGCATTGATCTTTATTTTGATGCCCTAAAAAAGCATTGATCTTTGCAAGATGCTATAAGAAAGATTATCTTTATTTTGATGCTATATTGATGCTATATTTTGAAAGATCTTTATTGTGATGCTATATTTTGAAAGACCAATATAAGATCAATTTTGATGCTATAAGGAAGCATTAATCTTTATTTTGATGCTATAAGAAAGCATTAATCTTTATTATGCATGCAGGCCGTGGCTCACCTCACAGAAGTAACCAAGACGCCCGACAGCTCGAGTCGTGCATGGATCAACGTCTTGAACGCGCTCGCTAAAATGGCTTCTGCCAGCCGTCAACGCGATCATTGTTATGATGGTGCGATGATGTTCATTATAGAATAGAATAAAATAGAATAGAAGTGTCGGCACTGAAGAAATAGGCCCATAGAAGTGTCGGCACTGAAGAAATAGGCCCATAGAAGTGTCGGCACTGAAGAAATAGGCCCATAGAAGTGTCGGCACTGAAGAAATGGGCCCATAGAAGTGTCGGCACTGAAGAAATAGGCCCATGGCCTGTTCATTGTTCACTATAATACGTGTTAACTGGGAACTTTTATGTGCATATGATCTCAAGGTTGATCATTATAGAATAGAATAAAATAGAATAGAAGTGTCGGCACTGAAGAAATAGACCCATGGCCTGTTCATTGTTCATTAGAATACGTGTTAACTGGGAACTTTTATGTGCATATGATGCTGAGGGTTGAATGATACCGATTGAATTGCGTTGTTGATGGCAACTTTTATGTGCACACTATGCTGAGGGTTGGATGATACTGATTGAATTGCGCTGTTGATGGGAAATTTTATGTGCATACGATGCGGAGGGTTGAATGATACTGATTGAATTGCGCTGTTGATTTTGAACTTTTATACCTATACAATGCGGATCATTCTCAACGTTAAAATATGTAATAATGTTATATTACATATTTGTTGTTAATATTATTTAAATTTAATAGTCTCAATAATACAGTGACTACTTATTTTAAACGAGTATTAAATGAACTGCGTTCTAGATATGCTTGCAAGGGTTGAACTTTTATTAGCATAAAACGCGGAAGGTTGGACGATGTAGATTGAAGCAGGTTCTAGGTGTTTAACTAACTTTAATGGGTTGCACTTCTGAATGCTAGAAGGGTATTAGTGAAAATACGTTATAGATGAGAACTTCTGTGTGATCGCAATGTTGATGGTTAGATCATTATCAACCTAATGTTTATTGTAATTAATATATACCTATTAATTTTGATTAAATTAATATCTGTAATATATATAATATAAAATATAATTGAACTTGGATTTTGGCAGGGACCTAATGGCGTATAATCAATCATCAGAATTCGAGCTGTAGCACAGAAATAGGATTTAATTTGGTCTTGGCTTTCATAATTTGTGTGTTTTGTGTAGGTTATCTTCTAACTCGTCTCTTGCTTGGGTGTTCTGTGGTAAACACTTTCTGATTGTGATATTATTAGTCAAAAATATTTAGTATTCTTTTCACGCTGAGTTGTAATTGATTTCCCGCCAACATTTCTTGGCTATGAATTTATGGTAACTATTTTTATACATGATTTCTCCAAGGAAAAAGTATCTTCAAATATATTTTCTGCTTTGGTTGAAGAGATTAGCTAGACTCTATTGTTTTAAAAATTTATATACTAAACCCTCTCACGTTTTTGATTCCAGAAAACTAGATTACAATTGAAAAACAACCTCTCCATAACATAAAAATGTAAAAATGTAATCAATATAAAATATTTTGCACAGTTGTTCCTACGGAGGTTGAAGCACACTGCAATGCCTGCTTGGGTGCAGTGACAGCAGCACTACAGCACCGCAGTGCTGCTGTGGTGGCTGAAGGCATCACAGCAGCACGCGCCTTATTCTACTGCCGCAGTGCTGCCTCTCCCTGGTGGGGTCCACTGCGTCAGGAGATACTCAACGTCCTGCTGTCAAGTGGCGGGAGCGATACTCGTGTTAGGTGTGAAGATTTTCTTTCTTTTGTCTTCAAAATGATAATTATAATTTTAAAATAGCGAGTCGTTTGTTTAGGTTCATAAGAATAACTAATGTAATGTTCAAAAGAATAACAATAATTTCTCATGTTAGGTGTGAACATTTTCTTTCTTTGTCTTCAAAATAATATCTATAATTTCTCATGTCAGGTGTGAAGATTTTCTTTCTTTGTCTTCAAAAGAATAACTATAATTTTAAAATATCGAGACGTATGTTTAGGTTCAAAAGAATAACTAATGTAATGTTCAAAAGAATAACTATAATTTTAAGGTATTGAGCCGTCTGTTTGGGGTTAGATGTGATATTTGATGTTTGTATTTAGATTTGTGTTAAATTTCACGTATTGGTATTAAATTTTATGTGTGGTGATGTGCGAAATCTCATATTTTTCAATACTGTTGGCCATTGTTTAGAGTTGATTGAAAATTTGTGCCCTGCAGCTAGCACATTATTACTGTAAGAAAGAAATTCGAAATGGCGAGATCATTGCATCGTTGCATGCAAAAGTCATTTTTTAGTTTTACATTTATATGTGAATTATATATGGGCCATTGCTTTCACAATACTGGCTTATTATTTCAGGACCAACGCTCTGAGCGCCTTGGAATGCTATAGCCCATTTGTCTCGAGTTGATTGAAAATGTGTGCCCTGCAGCTAGTAAGCAATTACGGCAAGGTACTCGCATGGGGAGATCATTGCTTGCAAAAGTAGTTTTTTAAATTTCAAATTTGTATATGAATTATATATCGGCCATTGCCTTCATAATAGTGGCTTATTATTTCAGCAGCAACGCCCTGAGCGCCCTGGCAGAGCCTATGGCTGATAAACTTACGATCTCTTAACTTTTTTGAAAGTATAGGCCCTGCTTATTATTTCAGAAGCAACGCCCTGAGCGCCCTGGCAGAGCCTAGCGACGGCTCCTGTGAATTGCTGACGCAGGAATTGTTACCGCACCTCAACGTAGCGGACGGAGGGACGGTAGCGGACGGAGGGACGGTAGCGGACGGAGGGACGGTAGCTGACGGAGGGACGGTAGCGGACGTAGGGGCGGTGGCCGACGCTGTGCTGGATGCTATGGTGGTTCTTACCGACGCTGCCTCTTGTCAGCGCTGCGTGGAGGCTCTCTGGAAGGCTATTGAGGCTCGTCCCACCCCTGCCTTGTGTAAATCTCTGGCAAGAGTGAGTTACCCTTAGTGTGCTGCAGCAGACTATTTACTGTTAATGTTGGAGGATAATGTACTGTTAGTGTATAGTCTCTGTGTAAATCTCTGGCAAGAGTGAGTTACCCTCAGTTTGCTGCAGGAGACTAGCTACCGTTACTGTTGGAGGATAATGTACTGTTAGTGTTATAGTCTCTGTTTAAATCTCTGACAAGAGTGAATACCTCCTAATTTGCTATAAGGTACAACCAACCGTTGGTCATAGAGCACCGTTGGGTCTTGCATTGTTTAAATCTATTAGATTAGTGAGCCTTTTATGATATACCGCAACCATAAGAAATTACTAACTATCATCCAACAGTTTGTTGCTAACGGATAATCAGCAATGTTAAATTAAGAAATTCACCTCGACCAGACGATCGATTTAGTGTCCTTCGAATGCCCAAACTGCAGTCGGTTCTTGATGTGTACGGCATGTCTATTGCTTGTATGAGGAACTTATCTTTGCCTTAAAAAGTGCACACATTACTCCAAAAATATACAAAAAAATTTCGTATTATTGGCATTACTTGCAAAAAACTGCAGGCTGCCTAACTCACTCGTATTTATTCTTAACACCGCGAGAACTAATGAATATTTTTATCGCATTTTCTCATTTATTGAAAAAATGCACTCTTGTGCTTGCCATGTCCGTCCGTCCGTCCGTCTGTCTGTCTGTCCGTCCATGACTTCACGTTTTCGTCGACGAGAAAATGCGCTCTCTGTCACTCACTGCAGTGAGTACTGAGTTATATTTTTTATTTATTTTACAGATCATAGATAAAACTGGTGACGACGCTGGTGCCCAGGAGTTTTTGTTCTCATCTTGGCGAGGTCTGGAGAAAGTCGTGGCTCTTGGTGTGATGGCAGCTATGCCGTCCACTGCCCTCAATAAAAACCACACTTCGAATTTGCCTGATTTGTTACAGCAATTATCTGGGGAAGAGAAGCTGGATTTGTTGTCTGCCATTGCTGAGTTGTGTCGGTCACTGTCAGCGATCCGTGGGTGTGTAATTATTACATTATTTAAATTCATTTTACCAACAGCAAGTTACCGAGAGTAACTTGTAGTGGTAGGTGTGTAACTATTACATAAATTAACTTTACCAACAGTACGTTACCGGAAGTAACTTGTATTTGCAAATACTTACGAGTTAACTTCTAGATTTGTATTTAGTGATTCGGTCGCTCAGGGGCTTTCTTTCATCAATGATGTAGACGATGTAGACAAGTTAGTACATTTCTGAACTTGATAATTTGTGAGTTGCGTGATCCTACCCAATAATCCTGGAGAGAAAATATTATTGAATAGGATCATGTAAATCACAAATTATTGAAATTTCTACCAACGAGACATATTTGCTGTCGATTTTATTGATTTTTTTAAAATAAGAATCTTTCTTTTAATCTAGAACCTTAATCCAAGATAAGAACCTGCTTTTGAGTTTGTAACTTATCTTTTTTTAGTTTAAAAAAAATTTTTAACCCTCCTGTTTTTAACCTAACCTAACTTAGATAACGATTACAACCTCAATTTTATATCAAATTCAATTATTTAAATCCGAGATCAATGTACAGGCCCTGCGCTGCGCACTCCGCTGAGCTTGCCGCTGAGCTGCTCTCTGGCAGCGCTCCAACCAGCGGCTGGTGGCACAATGTGGCAGAGAACTTCAATATGGCAGCCGTGTGGCCTCTTGATACAGAGACTACAGCTGAGAATGCTGCTCTCTTGGTGGGTTGGAAGTATTAACACTGAAATTAGAGCAGAGTATACTGCAGTGTGGTCTCTTGATACAGAGACTGCAGCTGAGAATACTGCTCTCTTGGTGGGTTGGTAGTATTAACACTGAAATTAGAGCAGAGTATACTGCCGTGTGGTCTCTTGACACAGAGACTGCAGCTGAGAATACTGCTCTCTTGGTGGGTTGGTAGTATTAACACTGAAATTAGAGTATACTGCAATGTAACACTTAAGACACCAGTTATCCTAACACCTGTTGTACTGACGGTGGTGCAGGCGGTGGTGGTGGAGGGGCTGGTGTGCTGTTATCCTAATACCTGTTGTCCTGGTGCAGGTGGTGGTGGTGGAGGGGCTGGTGTGCTGTTATCCTAACACCTGTTATCCTGGTGCAGGTGGTGGTGGTGGAGGGGCTGGTGTGCTGTTATCCTAACACCTGTTGTCCTGGTGCAGGCGGTGGTGGTGGAGGGACTGGTGTGCTGTTATCCTAATACCTGTTATCCTGGTGCAGGTGGTGGTGGTGGAGGGGCTGGTGTGCTGGTGTCAGGACGCAGGGCCGCTGGGTCGCCCTGAGCTGCTGCTGCCGCTGCTGCGCTGGGCCACCGCGCCCACTGCTCCTGAGGCGTGTCGCCAGGCCGCCGTGCTCGCTATGGCTGCTCTTGTTAACAAACTGCCTACAGGTGAACCATGTTTTATTGTTAACTATGTATGCATATAATGAATATTGATGTTTTTTAGTCCTTCAATGTATGCTGTGATAATTCAATTTGATGTTCCATGTTGGTGTTAGGTTTCATCTCATACTTAACTTTTCTTCTAAGAACGCGAATTTCCCCTTGTGTGAATTTTCCATTTTTGAAAACAACTGATCATGTTGTGACGAGATATGAAGGCTTATAAAATCTTTATCAAGGTATTCAAATGCATTATTGTTTATAAACAATATGTTTAAAAGGGGGTTGGACCTATTACATTTTTCACCGAGCAGAATAGTTTTCAATGTGCGTCAGATATTGGTTGAGTTATCCAAAAAATATATTATTTGATGAATTTTCCAGGTGCTGACTTCTTACGTCTTCTTAAGTGGCTGGAACACGAGCTGAAGAAGATCATGGAGGGCGGCCACGCCCCCCACAAGAAGCTGGCCGTGACGCTGATGGGGTGGGTGCTGAAGGCCCTTGAGATGAGGGCGGCTCCTGAAACTCTCAAGTGGAGAAATGAGGTAAAATTCTGATTTATTTTTATTTTTTTTGGTAGGTATGTTAAATGATTATCAGAGTGGTAATATCAACACTAAACTTTCGGATTTTATTTTTTATTTTTGGTAACTTAAATGTTAATCAGAGTGGTAATATTAACACTAAAACGCTTGTAGGGATTTATGATAGATCACTAGTGCACCCTGTGTTTATAATTTTGTACTATTGTTTTGACATGCATTTTTTAAAACCGCATTTTATTCGCTTGTAAATAGTAACTTTCTCAAGCACTTCTTACCACTACACTCGAATTATTTATTCGTTTATTTATGTCTAATGTGTTTTATTGACCTCATTTTATTCGCTTGCAAATAGTAGCTTTTTTCTCAAACACTTCTTACCGCTACACCCGAATTATTTATTGGGTTATTTATGCCTAATATGTTTTATCGCCGTACATTGTTTAGGCATTTAGGCTGTACACTGTAAATTCATCACAACATACATTATTAATGAGAAAATATGCTAACAATCAAACAGCAAAAAGAAAACATGTCAACGAACATTGTTAATAAGTATTGTAGCACAATCTATGTATACAGCTGCAGTCGCTACTGTCTAACGAGGAGCTCGGCGTAACCGCCGCTCAGTGCTACTCCGTCCTGCTGTCTGACCACGCATACGCCTTCTGCGCGTCATCCTCGTCCAACGTCAGGTATGTGGTATGCCGGTGTCAGGTATGCGGTATAACAGCGTCAGGTATGCGGTATACCAGCGTCAGGTATGTGGTATGCCAGCGTCAGGTATGCGGTATGCCGGTGTCAGGTATGCGGTATAACAGCGTCAGGTATGCGGTATACCAGCGTCAGGTATGCGGCGCATACGCATTCTGCGCGTCATCCTCGTCCAACGTCAGGTATGCGGTATGCCGGCGTCAGGTATGCGGTATAACAGCGTCAGGTATGTGGTATGCCGGCGTCAGGTATGCGGCGCATACGCCTTCTGCGCGTCATCCTCGTCCAATGTCAGGTATGCGGTATGCCAGCGTCAGGTATGCGGTATACCAGCGTCAGGTATGTGGTATGCCAGCGTCAGGTATGCGGTATGCCGGTGTCAGGTATGCCGGCGTCAGGTATGTGGTAT